CTCCCTAAGATTTGTATGCCTCAATGTTCCCACACTGCTGCAGATCGGTCAACAGGCAGCACTTGCTCGAACATTAGAGATCCTCTCGACCGATGTCTGCTGCTTATCGGAGCCCTGTCTGCAAGACTCGAGCTCTATGCTCACTCTCCGATCCCTTTCAGGTGACATTAGCAGTATTTTATCATTGCGCCTATCCGGTGACGATGCAGCTTCGAGCACCGGCAAAGCTGGTGTTGGCCTTGGCATGAGCCCCCGGGCTGAAGCTGCTCTGGTTGATCGGATCCCAATCAGTAGCCGGATGTGTGCGGTCCGATTGGCTGGCTGGTTCAAAGCTTCAAAGTCGCGCGGACTAATAGATGTCTATTCGTCATCGCTGCCTTCACGCCCACAAACACTAGCGATGATTCGGTAAAAAACGACTTCAACCGCCAACTGATCTAGCTCCCACGCCATAGAAGCAGCACGGACACTGTTGTGTCGGCAGGGGGTCTGAACACACAAATTGGAAAATTATCCACTGATGAACTCCATCTACACGCTAACACGGTATAGGCTCCCGTGATGATAAGGTAGCTCGGTTACTTCATTTGTGTGAAAACGTCCGCGTATATCTTGCGAGCACTAATTTTCGACGCAGCACCCGCCGGTGGGCTATTGGATGGTGGAGACAATAATCGTAATTGACCAGCGTTTGCCATAAGCGAGCCACGGTAGGTTTATGTACCTCGCTTTCCATTCTGAAAAGTGGTCATCTGCCTTTTGCCAACAGGCTAAATGTGCAGACGAAAACGCAGCGGATGTAGCAAATTAGAAGTAAGCTGCATTTGTGTGGGACGTAGGATGCTCCCGCGGTCCCATTGCCTACACAATCTGCACAAACATCCATTCAAACCGATGCTACAGTTTTCATCCACCCAACCCAATAGAACGGTGAAACATGCAAGATAATGCGTACAGAGTTTAGTCAATCGAATCTGAAGCATTGCCTCGAGGAAAACAAGAAAGTAAGTACCTTTTGAAAATGATTTGGACAGTACAAATCACTTGATATGATTTGCTACTTCACCAAGCTTCCCTTAAAATCTCGGTTATCCATATTCCTTGACACTGTGCCATCTAAAGGGCATAGCAGACTTGCCCTTGTGGAGGGCTAGTCAACAATCTATGCACGCATAATCCATATTTAGTATGCACCAAGTGGAATAGAAAAAAGTGGTATGCAAATAATAGTTACAAGTCAGCTAATTCATCATTGCCACGCTCAATCAGCAAGCTTAGGCTAGTCTGGAAAAGCACCAGACGCCGGCGTTTCAACATTCTGGGTCTCGTCACTGGTGCGCCTCCCAGCGGACCCTTGCCGAGTTCAGTCCCCATGACTTCTGAATGCCAGCAGCTAGCGCCACTTCGCCGTGGGTGACAGCCGCGGGACTGCGTGATTGACAGTTACCTATGATATTGCCCAAGTCAGCTTGCACTGCCATGCCAGTTACGAACTGTGCAGAGGACGGTGGGTAGCCTCACGAGCTAAGACTTTCCGAGTAGCGCCCCGGCACGGCACGAGGACTTGAATACTATACGGACAGATGTTTTATATATTACTGCTGCTGCTGCTGCTGCTGCTGGCATCCAGAAGTCATGTGAGAGGAACCAAGCAGGGGTCCGCTGGGAGGCGTACCACTGACGAGACCCAGAAGGTCGAAACGCCGGTGTTTGTCCTTCACAACTGAAGTAATACCCATACGATGGAGGGACACTTCACAAGCGCCTAACTCTGCAGCTGCTACTCACCCAATCGTGTAACATTAAGAAAAAGACGCGCCAAAAGTACACATAGAGGTAGCTAGACCGCAAACCGTTCTAGGATGAATCTCACGTTGAAGTTAGCGAGGTCATGAAGTGTGTATGTGCTCTATGCCTTTAGGGAGTAGTATTCTCCTAGATTTGTGAACACAGTACTGGTAGTGGATGAGTATGCGTATCATCCTCAGTTGCAGTATGAATGAGTAAACCAGATTTGTCTGTAAGAAACTAGTGCCAAGCTTGCAAAGTAAGCTTTTAGCGGCTCAACTATTGAAAGCTGTTGTGAGTAGCCACGTTGTAGACATAATCAGCAGGCCTACGCCAGTGAACACGTCCCTGTACTTTCTATATATTAACATGAATCGGACGACTGTTGTCAAGCAAACAGCTTCAAAGTATTCCACATGGTGACTACAACGATGTGGGGATATTGCAAGTCGGACTGGCGCATTCAATCTGCTTCTGCAACTCGTCTCTGAACCTAGCAAATAAATACCTAGACCCACAGAACTACCGAGAATAGTAGAAAATGATACAGCGTAGTGGTTAAACTTAACAATGAAGGTAACCACCAACACACCCCTCAATATCTTTGTACTGCGCAGAAGGCAACATATGAAATAGAGGCCTGTGGTGTCTGGTACCAGAAGATTTACTACTATGTTCTCCGACTACCATAGCATAATACTTTTTCTATTTGTAACCAAGACAAACAGAATGAACGACGTTCACTATCATTTAAATAGAGATTCACAGACGATATTGTAGTTTACAATTCAGTGTATAGTACAGGAGCTCCAAAACCTAATTCTGAATCTTTGTTCGTTGCGACTCTTGCTACTAACAGCGAATGAGAGATTACTGGAAGAACAGTCCTCCGGTAACTAGATAGTCACTGGTTCATTTTTCAGCGCACTCATTTTGTTAAAAGAAAACATCAAACAGCATGAAACCAGTTGTGGAGTACTAAGTTGACATCGTCTACCAACCAGAAAGTTTTAAATTCACACAGCTCCATTGTCCGTACTGCAATCTGAGTGACAGCTAAACGCAGCTGACGGTAATAAGAATGCTGGTATAGTGAGTCTTCGAAACGAGTAGCCTTAGAGCGCACAACTAAACCGGATGTTATCTGAGCTCGCCCTACTTCATTATCATTCACGCATGTTCATGTCTGATTCGCGCTGGTATTGTTATCCGTTTGCGTGCCCACAAAGGCGTTTTAACGAATACAAGGACGATGGTTCACATCACTAGTTACCTTGTGATAATGAGTAAGTATGCAACTGGGCCGATTAACTAACATGGACTGTTCGCCCAGATACAAATATTGCTGTCGTTTGAGGTTCCATGATGAAAGTGTAGACGAAAAAAGGGTGTACCGAAAAAAGCATACACAGAAGATTTCGTACACGGAAAAGAGGGTACACAGAAAAATTCGTACGGGAAAGAATGCGTACACGGAGAAAACCTACAAGGAAAATGTCACCACCGGAGTGGTGCACACAATATATCTCGAACAGGGAAGTACACTAGTTTGATGGGTTTGTAAATAAACGACTACCCAACGTACCAAATCCCCCAGGACTCATTCAGAATACTAAACAGACAGAACACTGTTCGCCTACTGCTGTTTGCCGAAGCCTCAGCGATTCGGTGGCGATAACCCATGTGGTGTGACCAGACCAAGATCTTGAACATTTGATGGCGGCAGACCCAGATATCAGTTCACAGGAACGGCAATATGAAGAGAAGCTTTTATGTTACGCATACAAGTGTCCCCTATATAGTGACCTTGGTGAAACGTGCTTGTTGGTAAAGCGGGACTGGCAGCGCGTGTCGATGTACGAAGGATCTGACCGTGGGTGTGTTTTTCGGTTTACTTAAACGTTTTCTTAAGCCGAAATAAAGTTAAGTTTGTGGACATATGGAAAAGCTCGTAACACTCCCTAAACATTATTTGAAAATAACTATTTTATCCATATTTTTCGCAAACAGACGAATAGCAAAGGAACTGTGAGGTGGGACATTATGCACATTTGGCACGGATACCTCCAGCGGTTGCTTTAATGTCCTGGATGGCCAGCAGTCTAACTAATAGCACTTCGTTTCTGCCCCGTCGATCTATCTGGAACACTTCACTCTACAGAGCTCGAAAGATACTGCTGCTTACCCTAGGGAACTGCGTAAATCGATTCTTAATAGCCTTCATTTTAAACAACCTTCCCACTCCCATGTGTACAGCATTTGATAGTAGTTACCGGCTCACAGGCGCACAATGTTTAAATGGCCTGAAGTTTGTACTGTGCAGCCGAACTGCTCCCACAGCTAATACCATCTAACTGGGTTTGTTGCTCGGAGCAAATTCCGCTCGGTTACCTGAACAATTCAAAGATGATTGGAATGGCTTTGTAGCGGAACGATTGGTGCGCTTGACACACAATTACCACTGAATGAGCCCACCACACGGCACTAGTTGATCAGAGTTGCTGCTTATATAATCCACCTAAGTAAATAAGAAACTAAGCAAAACGTAAATCTGAAATCTGCAAAAATTTACTGCCGTACAAATATCACCATGTTGTGCAACACGTAAGGAACTAAGATACCAACAATCAGTATACAAAACCACGCACTAATATCACTCTGAACGGCCTGTCGATTGTAACAGTAGGGCAGTAATATTGCAGTATCTTCTGCTGTGTTCGATGTGAAAAATGAATCTAGCAGTCAGACTGATGGTGGTTTAGAAGTAGTACAATACTAATTTTTCATGGGTTCACGACATTTAGTGCCGCGTAATTGAGCCCTGCTTATCCCAAACTTCGATAGGTTTTGAAGTCTACATAGTTCAAATAAAATTTCACTGGAATGCGTAGAAGAAGCACCTACGCAAGTTAGTGAAAATGCTGATTTAGTCTGTGCTCATACAATGACTTTAGCGTCCCGATTCGGGAGTGCTGACTGTAATGTCAGTCTTCACTAACTCCTTGTCTGTGGCGTGATCTCCTTTGTCATTTGTAATACTACAATATGCCGTTTACGATACATTATGTCACGTTCACCCACTGGAACGGACCACTACTCATACTTTCAATAAATCCACCCCTGTTCTTACCATTGCAGGCGGTCTGTTCATACCAGAATCAGAATAACTTCAAATGTTGTGTTTCGCGCTCAGAATTTCAGTGTGCACTCACCTTGTCATTTCTTTTGGTAACTTCCCTGTCCTCAGACGGCACAAGTTTTCCTTGTTTCCTTGTATATCGATATCATTCAGTAACTGCTAGCATTTCGAAAACGTAAGTAATGATGATCCGCAAGTACTATTCATACTGGTTTGCTGCCTCTCCACGGAAATCTACCGTAGTTCCAGTAAATATGTGAATGTTGGTGGGATTTCCAAACCTGCTATCGTGTGCTAACCCACAATAAAATGCAAATCAATGGAAGAACGGCGCAAAGTAAGCGACGGATTATAATGTGTGCAGCAGCCCAGCCTGGGTTCCTTTAACTCCCTAGTTGGACAGACCCATGATGGTGGGGTAGACACCACATGCAGGCATGTATGGGCGCTCGATTAGCTTATCATAGCCAATCACGACCAAGTGAACTGCAGCCGTTGTCCAGCTTCCTGCGCAGCAGCGGAATAGTTGCCCATTCACCCACACAACTTGTGGTCGATCACTTACATTCTGCAGACAGCCCGCAGTAGTCATGGGATTAAATTACTCGTATTAAGAAGAAAATTACCCACAGAAGCCGGAAATTGTGACAGCAGCTTTCTGAGGTGAATCGTGATACTAAAGTAATGTTATGAAAATATAATCGAACATTGTTACAGAACCTTATGTGGACTCGTCACCGGACGAGGATAGGTCAGCGCTGACAGCAAGCACATCATAGAGGCATATAAAGTGCACAGCTAAGAACAGTTGCACAAGCTAGTGATCTGCTTAGTGAAATTCCGAGTGCTCAGTGATATCCTGAGAAAGGACTTTTTGAATAAAATCTCCAACAGTACGCCTTCGTGTGACTGGCTTAACAAGTATGTAACTAAACAAGCCGGTAAGCATTGAACATCAGCGGTATTAGGCGTTAGACTTAAGCACTGAATTCGAAAGCAGGGAATCGATAGTAAAATTGACGTGCACGAGTTATCTGAATGAATCCCGTATCCCCAAACTCAGTGCAAGATTAGTTTTATGAGTGCAGTTAACGAAAATCAAGCGTTTGGTGCCTTATCCACTCATATTTTGTTGACGAAAGCAAAAACTGATAACGTAGTATCGATGTTATTTATCTTGTCGTATTTGCAATTGCGGCCTGGGAAACAAACGTATACACAGAGCTTACAGCAACGGGACGCAAAACACCAAAGAGTGTTCTCGGCTTAGTATTGAAATTATGAGAACTTTTGCTTCCATGTTTTTGAACCGAACAGAATTGTTTCTTATTCTGGTTGACAAAAGTAAATGTGATAGGTAGCCGTCGGATACTGAGTTACTTTTTAGTCTTTCAGAGGTACAAGGACAATCCACATTAATTTCACTATGGCTATATCTCATATAGCAATAATGATGTTAATAAAAAAGTAGCACCAGTGGCAATTGGAGGAGTCGGTCACCAGTCGAAAAGTTTTCAACGGGTCCGCATGCGAAAATGTGCCCATAGCAAGGGTTGGACAGAAACAAACTACTATGTTCGTCTGGACTACATCGCCTGACTCCCTCTTTCGATGTCTACCCCAGCACATAAATACAGAGTATCATGCCTTCAGAATTTGTTGCTTTTATGTTAACAGCCATGCCAACAGCCAGCAAAGCTCTTGCTGTTGAAATACCAATTGATGGGCAGAGGATTTAGCAGTTCCTCAGGTTGTGTACTCCGGATCAAATGCAAACACGCTCGCTCCACCAACAGTCCAAAAACCAATTGTTTACGGTAAAATTGGACAGTGATAACCATGATTAGTTTCTGTTTGTTGTGCTTTGGGGTACAACGCTTTCAGGCTCAGTCGTACTACAGGTTCGTGATTAGATGTCTAATGCGAACTAAATCTGCCTTCTTATGTCCACTGACAGAAGGAGAGCTTAAAATGTCGTTCCGCCGACATGGGAATCACGCTGGGCGTTATGCAGTACTCCATGTATAGATGTTGATTGCAGCAAACTGTATGAAAAATGACAAAAGTGTTATATCCATAGATGTCCTTTCGCAAGTATTTCAACTACTCTGAAAACAATAGAATGTCTATGGGTCTACCGATCATGGACATAAATTGATCATATCGCGATTAGTTACCACCGGATTGGCTGCGTCCAAAACTGTCGCTCGATTTAAAGCACGAGCGTGGACTCTGACCACGCTCTGATGTGTGCTGACCTGCGGGTGCGTTTCGGTGGACGTCCGCAATGTCGATGTCAACGGATTGACACCAGTCAGCTGGCGAAGCCAGGTGTTCTGAATGAGTATCAAAGTGCGCTGACATCCGGGCTGAATAAGCACCCACTGCACACAGTGAAAGATCATTGGATGCATATTTATCAAAAGTTATTATCAGCAGGCATGTCTTCATGTGGCAAATCAAATTGCCAATCTGGACATTGAGTCTGTACACAGTCTCTGGAACTTATGGACGCTCGCCGACGTATTTCGGCTAGAAGCGAATCCAACGAAAGTCGCAAAACTCTCCGGGCAAGGCTGCTTGCTAGCCTGAAGAAAGACTGCGAGGCCTGATGGTCTCATCGTGCCTCGGAGATGGAAATAGCCGCTACCATTGGTAATCATGGGACTTGATTCCGTCTGATACTGGAAACAGGCAGTAGGAGACCTGGTGTTTGCGAGACCATACACGACGTCAGTGGACAGGCCATCCGCAGCCTATCAAAACGCTTGGGTGGTTGGGCCGAACACTTTGCATGGTAATTTAACCGTCCTGAGTTATCGCTTTCGTTTTCGGTCATTGAGTGCACTTCTCCATGGGCCCTCTCCTTCGATCTGCCCTCACACGCAGGAATCGAAGGTGAGATCAAGCTGTCTAAATTGCATAAGGCCGCAGAGCCAGATAGACTTCCTCTATCCCTCTTCAGATTCGGGAGACCTGCTCTAGTAGATGATTTACAACAGCTGCTAGTGAAACTGGGAGCAGGAGACGGTTCCGACAGACTGGAGCCGCTCCGACATTGTCTTAATTTTCTTGGCAGGCTCTCGTTCAGAATATGGCGAACATAGAGGGATCAGAAGGAGCTCAATTGCCTCCAAATTGCTTGAGTCTGTCGTTCTCTAGAGACTGACTGGCACTCGTGAATGCCTGATGTGTGGAGCGCATGCAGGGTTTCGTCATGGTCGGGGCTGCATCGATCACATATTCACTATGCTTCAATTGTTGGAGCATTGCCATGTTTATTGGCGACCCACTATTGTCTAGTTTCTTGACATAAAAGGTGCCTTCGATTCCTTCGATCTTTGGGACTGTCTGTTGAAGAAAAGTATGCCTGATAAATGCGTAAACATTATCAGAGCGTTGTACGCACATACTTCGGTCAGCGTGAAAGTGCATGGCAAACTGTCGCCACCCTTCAGTATCACCAGTAGTGTGAGACAAGTTTGCACGCTGTCACGTTTTCAACTTAACTTCGCTATTGATGAAGTCATGGAAACAGCGTTCGCTGGACACGACCTAGAAGATGTGGAGCTACTTCATGGTGAGCGAGTTCATGACTTGGAGGATGCTACCGATTTTGCCCTAATCTGTGACAGCGACCAAACATGCCAAGCAGCGTTGAACCGATTAGTACTGGCTGTCTATCATTTTAGGCTATGCTTTGCTCCATCGAAATGCAATGTAATTCTCGAACATTGGCAGGGATGCACCCATGCGCTAACGCTTGGTGCTGATCAGCTAGAAGTCCTTCAGGAATTCCAGTACCTTGGTAGCTATATTAGCGCCCTTGGGATCGAAGATGAGGTTACGAACCGTATAGCAAATGTTCGAGGTGCTTTTGCCAATCTCCGCCACTTGTGGCGCAGCCGCGGCATTACTCTTGCCCTGAAGAATAGAGCTTATAAATCAGCCGTCCGTTCAACCTTCCTATATGTTTGCGAAACCTGGCGCATCAGGTCGACAGACATAAAGAGGCTCATCAAATTTGGTCATCGCTACCTTCGCAGCTTAGCTCATGTCTGGTGGGAGCACCGCGTGAGCAGTGAGCGTGTTCGACGTCGTGTATTTGGTGCAGGAATAGCGAGTGAACCGCTCAGCACCAGTATATCACGCACCAGGCTCCGATGCCCTGGACACGTGTTGCGCATGCCAGCACACTGACTCCCGCGAGGTGTATTGTTTGCACCCCAGGCGTGCAGTTGGAAGAGGAGGATTGTAGCTCAAGCGATGACTTGGTCGAAAGGAATAAAAACCTTCACCTTGAAAACGTCGTCGATCGGTGTATTCCAACTGCCGGTCTGGGGTCCTAAAGAGCATGAACACGTTTGGTTGGACACAACTGCAGATATGGCGAAGAGCCGGCCCCAATTGCGTTGGTGTTGTGAGTTTCTTTGTCCATACCCTCCCTTTAGGTTTCTCCTCCAATCCCGATCTCATGCAAAACACTTACGATAATAGTTAACACCATATACTTTGTAATATAATTTGTAGTGTAATTTTTATTCCATTATCTTTTTGTGTCGCGGCACATTAGCTGGTGTGTTTCTCACTGTTAGCTAACGTGTACTGATGCTGATGATGGCCGATCACAAAATGAAATTACAGTTGAAATTTTAACAAGCTATTGTGGAATATGTCACGGCTTTCCGCCAACTAACACTGCAGTTCGGACCCTAGGTGGCACTTTTGTCAATTACGAAGCCTGAGTGCCACTTTAAACTGACACTGAATTGGAGACGGCCGCTACGTCCTCCCTGATATTATGTTCTTTTACAAAAGTTTCCTCTAGTTATACTCAAGCCAAACCATTGGGAGAAAATTGACGCCAGTATCCATTGACAAATTACATTTCGTTCTGCTTCCATTTCTGACCACACCAATAAAAAGGTTAAGGCTGTATCCATTTGAGCAGAAACAGCACAGGACGCAGGAGGAAAGGTTGCCAATTGGAACAATTTGGTTAGGAATGATCATTTGTCGGAGAAATTGTTTTGCTTTGACCCAACCTCGTTTAAAAATGAAAACTTACTTTAAAAACAAGCCTTGATGTTTAGAGTGGAGAATTATATACTTTCTCTGGAAGTTAAATACCAGTGACAGTTCATGCGCAATTAGGCAGAGGTTACACTGCTTCTACTGTAATTCCCTGCAGCATTTGTACATAGACAATAAGTAGCACTGGCATGTTAGAAAACTACGATCATATTCTGTTGCTGCGGATTAAGTGCCGGCTGTGTAGATAGATATCGATGCTCAGTCTTAGTTTGATCATGGTGAAATCCTCATCCACAACATGTGACCCA